ATTTGTTCCGTTGTTGGCACCGCGTCCTTGTAGCATTACCTGTCTTTTGACCACTTGAAGCTATCCAGCTACCCTTCGCCGCTTGTGCGCCGTTTTCCATTCGGCAAAGGCGGATTTACCTGATTTAGTTCTTGGGATCCGTTCCCTGTGGTTGAACTGATCAGCGGATCTTCAGTTATCCGTTTATCGGTCTCTGCTCTCTCGCAAAGCTCCTGTTGGTATATCCTTGTAGTTCACTGCGCCTTTGTGACCTGGTGAGTCAGTTTCAATCCACTCTTGTCACACTTGGTCATTCAGGCTGGTGCTGTCGTCGCTTGCATAGGTTGTCACCGTAATCCGGTTCACATCTTCGCTTCTTATCTATTACCTTCAATGTTTCTCTGAACCTTGCGTCACGACGGTTGTCAAGCGCTGCTAAAACCCGCCGTGTCCTCTTTCCGACGACTCTGGTCGTGTGTGGTAGAGGGTTGCCTAGAAGCGGTTACAGCTTCGTCCGTGGGCGTGCAGGGGGATATCTGTAACCGTTGGTTCCATAAGGCCTTACTGACTTGGATCGTAGATAGTGCGCGCTTCTGTCTAGTAGCGAGAGTTTACTCTACCGTTGTAACGACTAGTGCATGCGCAGGACTGAGCGTTACACGCCAGTAAAGAGCAGTTCTGATTCTCTGGAAAGTTTGCTGCACCTGGTTGCCTCGCTAGACAGGAAAGTTGAATGGATTGTGAAGGGCCTAGAACGCTCAGGTCTTCTCTGTCAGGAGACAGTAGAAGACACTGGCAAGTTGTCAGATCCTTCATCTGTTTGTTCACTGACGAATGTCAGTTTACCTGATAGTAACGACCGTGTTCGTAACGGACCCTCAGAGAGCGTGTTGGATTTGGCTGTTAGCGAAGGCGAGCAGCAGGCTTCTGCCCTTGTCAAAAGAAGGCGAAAGAGGGTTATAAAAGTGGCAAAACCCAAGTCAGACATGAGAGGTCAGTCGGGTGCCCATTCCCCCTCAACTTCTACTACTACGGAATCGTTACAGCTGGAAACGACTACTACTTTATAGTCTATAAATTCGGACACTAAACTGAAACCACCGACGTCCATGGAGCGTTCAGTAAATGCTTCGCGTCGCAGAGACTAGCATACCGACTGCAGTGTTCTTTTCAGAAAAGCCACTGAGTCATCTGCTGTTCTCCCGAAAGACCGAATGCTAGATGGTTTAGAATATGCGTTACCAAAATCCCGCCTCCCGGCTTCCCCGGCGTGACTGTGCGCAAACTAACCAGACGCGGTAGCTTTCCAGCTGATAAGTCTCGCCCTCGCTTGTTGCGAGTTGTTCTGTCCATTCCAGAGGAGCGCCAAGCACTTCTTCGGTTCGCCTTTAAGCTCAAGGGCACTGGTGTCATCGTGCACCCAGACCTCCCATTGGAGGAAGGCAGAAATTGCGGGAAGCTGTGGAAGAGCTTAAAGCCCGTCGTGAAGCAGGAGAAAAGGACCTCCGCTTGGTGGGTTTTTGGGCAGTGAGCCGGCAGTCCAATTTCGCCATACCAGAGCCGGTTCTGGTGGCGCACGATCCCAGTCGCATAATGTTAAATCCCTTCAGTTTATCTTAAGCAATGCGCGTAGCCTGCGAAACCAGCTGTGCGAAATCTGATCCCTTGTCAGCGACTGCCGCTCAGCTGACCTCGCACCCACTGAAACGTGGTTGTCCACCGACGGCATGGACAGTGAATTGTGCTTGCCAGGCTACGCACTGCTGAGATGTGACCGCATTTCTGATCGGCGCGGAGGTGGCGTTGCGTTGTACTTTAACTCCGCACTTGCTGTCTTTAAGACGTATAGTTTGGATCACCAGACAGTGAGGTTGGGGCACTCGCAGTTAACCTGCATATTGCCTCCGCGCAACATAAAGTTGTGCTGGTCTATAGAAGTCCCAGCAGAGTTGCTAAGGGGCTTGTTGATTTCATCCGCGAGCATTCGGCAGATAGGGGTTAAGTGATTGGGGACTTTACTCTGCCCGACGTTGACTGGTAGAATTTTTCATGCGACGCTGTTACAAGGTGTTTGACTACCGAGCTTCTCGAGCTGGCCTTGCATGCTTCCCTGCACCAAGTTGTCGATGGACCTACTAGATTCCTTATGGGTCAAAACCCGTCCCGCTCGGACTTCATCTTCGGTAAATCCACCGCTTCTGTCACGGATATTGTATACAACTCACCTTTCGGTGATAGCGACCACGCATCTCTCTCATTTAAGTGCGCCCTTAGTCGGCAGACGAAAGCTCATCCCGGCCGAGTTCCAAATTTATGGCATGCGGACTTTCAGACATGAAAGCTAGGGCCGCAACGTCACCTTGTAACATTTTCGAAGGTGACGACATTCAAACGGCCGGGGGCAGATTTAAAGCATACTTGGGTGGGCTCTCTCCCCCATGTACCACTATATGGCAGAAATAAAGCAAGGGTACAGCCACACTGGTTTGATTCTGCTGTACGTAAACAACTTAACAGACGTGCCACATGTTGGCGTACTTACTTAACTGCTCCTTCATCATGCACCTTCTAGCGATATCGTGAGGCTCGAAATGCCTGCAGGCAGCATCTACGAGGGGCTCGCCTAAATCATAAAGTACAGCTTGCTAGTATAGCCTCATCAAACCCGAACCGCTTCCACGCTTGTGTCAAAAGGCGAAGCAACACGTACTCGTGCATCCCAGTGTTGTTTGGCCCTGACGGCACTGCTGCTGTCACGCATCACGAAAAGCTTGGTTGCTCGGAGGACAGTATGCTGGGGTTTATGTTCTGGAGTCAGCCGCCCCATATCAGTCTCCAGGCAAAAGTTCCTGAAGGCTCCCACTTGGAGAAGTTTTCTATAACGGAGGCTCAAGTGCTCCGGCTTCTGAGGCAATTAAACCCCAATAAAGCTGCCGGAGGGGATGCTTTCCATCCCAAACTGTTTTACGAGTTGGCTGATGAACTTTGCCGTCCCATTACGCAACATTTTGTGAAGTCTCTACTAGGCTGCTTTTTATCCAAGGACTGGAAGGAGGCTACTGTTTGTTCCATTTTTAATAAAGGTTATAAGCACCTCCCTGATAACTATAGACCGGTCAGTTTAACGAGCGTGCCGGTCAAGTTATTGGAAAAGCTCGTGATGGACGCTCTCGAAGGACGCTTGAAAGCGTTTGAGTTGCTTCCTCCTCAGCACGGCTTTCGTAAGGGTTATTCTTGCCTTACTAACTTGTTAACCGCTTGTGAACACTGGGTCGAAGCCGTTGCTTGCGGGAAGGCAGTGGACTTGCTGTTCATTGACTTTTCCAAAGCTTTTGACACCGTTCCACAATCGCGCCGTTTGTACAAGCTAAATTCCTATGGTATTTTTAGACCAGTCTTACGATGGATTTCAGGTTTCCTAATAGGAAGGGTAATGTGTTTGCGGGTGGGTTCAAGCCTGTCCTCCCGCCATTGTGTTCTCAGTGGCGTTCCGCAAGGTTCGGTCCTTGGCCCCCTTCTCTTCACTTTATTGGTTAATGACCTACCTGATGCATTGGGTGTGCCATGCCTAATGTTTGCGGATGACTTGAAACTCTGGTTCACAATAAACGATCCGACTGGTCCAATGACCCTAAAGAGGACTCTGGATAGACTTTGGGACTGGTCAATTTTGTGGCAGTTGCCCGTTAATTTAGCGAAATGTTCCGTTTTACGTGTTGATCCGAATGACCCGTCGTGGCGTTATTTGCTTGGCAGCAACGAGGTACTGCGAGTTCCGCTCCAATCTGACCTCGGTGTTCTGCTGTCATCCGACTTTAAGTTCAGTGAACACTGGATGACAGCTGCTCGCAAGGGTTTCAACATATCGTGAATAATCCACAGGTCATTCGGGATCAGGACCACTGAAATGTTCGTCAGACTGTTTTCGGCTTTTGAAAGGCCGAACTTGGAATACTGCCTTCAGACTTGTCCTCCATGTCTGGTTCGTGATAAGACGGCAGTTGAACGAGTCCTGCGGTCCGGGCGAAAATGGTGCACGGATTAAAGAAGCTGACTTACCCGGAGAGGCAACGTAAGCTGGCTATGTTTTCCTTGTATTACGGGCAGCTTCGAGGCGACTTAGTCCTCACATATCGTTTACTGATGGGTCAGAGTGGTAATGAGTTGACTGAACTATTTGGCCCAACTCGAATGCCAACCCTTCGTGGCCACCCATTAAAGTAGAACAAATCCCGGTCTGACCAGGTGTGGTCAGCTTTCGGTTATCGCGTAGAGTCATAGCTTATTGGAACGCATTGTCTGCAGGCGTCGTGATGGCATCGACCGTGAAAGAGCTCGGGCATCGACTTGACGCTACAGTCTGCGTTTTAAAGTATTCTCCTTCATGTCTTAAACTTTTGTTCGTCTACTACGGCCTACGCTTCTTTAACTCATTTTAACTTACATCCTAATATAGCCTGCGAAACTCGATAAGCTTATCTTCTCCTTTCCTTTACTAACACTATTGTTTTCTTTTATTCTTCACGTGACCGGGACAGCGGGGACTGCTAGTGCAGGGTAGGTGGCCATTGTTTGGTTGACCATGTGAATGGTGTGTTTTGCCTCTCCTTTGGCACATCAAGGCACCGGTTTCCCTGTTGGATCAACGAGGTTTTCCAAGGTGGAACCTTCGCAGGAGTTTCCTACTATACCGCTCCCACCTGAACTTGAACATGTTAATGCTGCACTGAAAACATTTTCCGCGTAATCCAAAAGCTTCCCAAATATATATCAGTTGGATGACTAGGAGCGTGAAAACCATATCTCGGTACGCTCCCACAGTCACTTCAGCGGACATCATTCGTTCACTCGTGTCATGCCGGTAGGTCCGGTTTCGTCAGGCCCCAAGTATTTACAGAAAGCCAGTATTCTGGGATAAAACAAACGTGTTATTCTAATATATATGCTAATCACTGGATTTGCTGTGACGTATAGTCAAGCAATTGCCTGATCTGTGTTAAGCACTACTGCCCATTATTTGACCTACGTGAAAGTGCACTTTTCAAAATAGTTATATGGTATCGTGTGGTGAGTTTCCGTGAGTGGCGAATGGAGGTCTCTTTGGATTGGTTTGAGAGCATATCTCCTAGAATGCACATTTGTCGAAAGCGTCATTTGGATCTTGATAAACCAGAGAGAAAGGCTAAAAAGAACGTCAGACGAACGCCATCTACTGCATTTTCCGTCAATCAGGGAGCTGTTCGTGACAATAAAAAACCTACTAAAATGCAGTTCATAATGAACGGAAACAAAGCCCCAGATCCACAACATTTACATACTAACATGCTCAGAGCCCAACTTATCCAAGAAAGGGAAATGGAGTATTATTTCCAACTATTAGGTAACTTTATTTGTGTTTTCCTAACAGTTCTGATTAGAGCAAGACAGAGTAATCAAACAATTCTTAGAATTTGATAAATGCTACATATATGCAGACAAAGTGCGAAGTCCTTTGAAATGTTTGTCAGCAAACCACAATTTAGTACAATCTGGCGTGTGTTTTCGCATACTTTAAACGGTGCAATTTTAACATTAACGAATACAGGCGTTTGAACTTTTTCTGCTGCTTGTATGATAATATTGTCTAGCTGACCAGAATGGACCCACAGGTACCTGGTGCATGATATGGAAGAAGATAATGAGGACTACAAGTATGAAATTTTTCCTTGGGCATTGGGATGTACTTGGCGCAAGAGAGTATCTTCATTCCTGCGTCGAAAAGAAAATATTTGGGCTAGAATGAATTACAGGGCTGTTGTCAGTTTAACTTGCTGTAAAGAAGTCGGTGTTCATCATGCATTTTGCTTTTATGTCTCTAGATCATGGCAATATGTCCTGAACATCCGGTGTGGAAAAGAACTCGCCTTGAACACCATGGCTACACTATACGAGCATATGTTAAAAATAAAAATTCAGGCATCCCAAAGGGTCCTAATTGTCCTCCGTCGTATGTTTCATTATCTTTCTTTCATAGTGTTTAGTGAATGCAAACAATGTTTTACAATGCGAGCCATTGAAACATCGCAAGGATCTAGGGAGGTTACTGCTTATGAACAATTATCAACTCAGTGCAAAACCGAAAATCTTTTGGCTAGTGGTACTTGCACCTATCAACCAGTTAACGCTGTAGAAAACCGCGTTCCTCAGCTTGAATATTCTAACCAGTTCCGAATGTCATGTGTTCCCACTTTTTCTTGGCAGCAACGACCTGAAGAATCTTGGTTGTCACAAGAAACTTACTGCTCAAGTAAGCTCTTAATTAATAGACCTTGTGTAATTTATATAATTAACACCCAACGTCTTTGCCAAGATGCTTTAACAGAACAGACAACACTAAGGTAATGCGGACCCGTTTTTCGACTAATATAAATTGCATGCAGTCATCACTTTGCTTGCACGCGTTTAATTATTTTAGTGGATGTACCCGATTAACTAAGTGAATAATTATAGCAGTTTAATATGCGCACATTCTTACTATCTATTGTGGAGCGATTTAGTAACTGGTGCTGATGAAAAGGAACTAGAACTCCAATCCTTTTGGGAATCAGTAATAGTTTTCTCTAGATCTTGTTTTGCTTGAGATTTGTGAACAAAGTTACACCGCTGCCTACACATGTGAAAGAATACCTGTTTCGTTAATCAATGTTATTGGCCGCTCGAAAACACGAACAAACGGAAAAAGTATACAAATTAATCTGTCCAAAACTCTTGCTTTGCAATATAAGCCATTGTTGACGCCACTGGCGTAGACAACATGCGTGCGTCCACAGTCGCTGTTTACGAAAGTTCACCCCTTATGGGGAGCATCACCAATTGCGCTATGGTGATGTTATATACCGCATCATTGGTAATTCTGGTCTTCCTGTCAATGAACGCTTTCTGCCGCATCAGTTGAGTGGTTTTGACCACAACGAGCAGTAGTTTCGCGTTCAATGCAGCATTAAGGAAGGTGGAATGGAGGCCATTGACCACTTGACTACAAGACAAGAAATCACTGACATGTTGTTCAAACGTTGGTAATCAAGTATTTTCCTCCGCTTGGGAACCAAAAGAGCTAGAATGCTAGCGGCTTAGAAAACTAGAACCATTGACTTAGAACTGGTTGTAATGTAGACCATATGCACACCTTTGAGTGAATTCCGGATATATACAAGATTAATTTTTATGAAAGATGCAAAGTGGTGTGTAGATAGAACAAAAATATAGACGTCCTTTGTTCCTCCTCGTAATTTTGTTCTGTTCTTTAGTTTTATACAACCAGCTCCTTTTGGTCCGCTGCTCCGTTGTCTTGAATATCTTCAACTACATTCTATGGCTAGTGGCATCCGGTTCCGGATTTGCCTAGCAATGCAGACTCCATATGACGGCCACATAATGCCTTCCCCTAGTAAGCGACCATGGGTGGCTTGCGCTGCACCACTCACAGTTCCATCCCCACACCTAATAATCAGTGTAAACACCAAAGAATAATACCGGAAGGCAAGCTCATATTCTTTCAAGGTACACAGCAGCAGCACTCTTAAATAACTAATTTGGAAATCATGCGTGCCAGTCGTACACTAGGTGGTGAGTGGGCCGCGATACGCTCTACACTAAATGGAACCACTCTTTGTGCCTAATACCGTCATGAGAACGATGCATCACGTCAGACCCTCAATGATTAACAGTCTCTTAGCGTCAATATAATCAGGCTGAAGAGTAATATATAGGCAGGCACCTTGTCGACATTCACGTCAAGAGAAGCCACCTTATAGATATCAGGTAACAGCTAACACCTGAAATTCAAAAGCACAACACACATGCATACGGACAGACAAACTGCAGCAATGACGTAGCAAACGTACTAAATCAGCTGCATTGTTGGCCCGGGTACATAAATGGAATTGCACCGGAAACCGTGTGCTTATCTTGCGCTGCGCTGATGATCATTACCTATTTAACTGACGCGTCGCCTATGATATTTTGGACCTGCATTGCGTAGTTGGTGGCTTGGCAAGCTGATTTGGCTTGGTCACTAGCGACAGGATGTGTTACAACACCATGTGCCTGACGTCGATAGGCTGGACTCTACCAAATCTTGTCCTTTTCATATCCAACTTCTATTTTCTGGCTGCAGTAGTGCTTTAGCATGCAGCTGCGCAACTGACCTCTTGATAAACTCACATCATTAGCGAAGATCATATGATTTTGATTCTCAACCTTTGAAATAAACATTAGTTTGTGATAAACACAAGTTGATCTTTTTTTGGTAAGGTGACTTCAGTTTTCCCACCTTCCGCTTCCCAGCATGCGGTTGTCCATAAAGCAGCCAGCTTAATACTTGTGTCCAATGCATGCGGTAAACACGTCCGATCCACCTCAGGTGCCACAGCAGAATTATATAGTCCACTTCATACGTGCGACTGCGTCGAAGCATCTCCTTGTCTGCAACATGGTCACCCCCAGCTGAAGCATGCATTGTTTATGGAAGCGCGTCAGATAACAATCACCATTCCAGTATGTCGTCAGTTTCGTTGTCGTATAGAAGAACGGACAGCACCATAAAATCGTATACCATCAGCTTCGTCTCAACAGTAAGCTGATGATTATTTTAAACACATTTTCCCAATTTTGTAATTGCACAGCCGCCTTCAGTACACGAATGCGAAGCTTGCTCGTTATTCTCAAGTTGGTAAACATTACGCTGCCTAGGTAGTAAGCTCTCAAAGTGGATTCCAAAACCTCGTTGCCAATGTGGATTTGCAGCAGGCCCACGGATTCCATTTCCGAAGAAGGCTGAAAAAGGGTAACGGCCTTGATTACTTTTATGATGAGCCCGAATTTGGCCGTTGTCGAAGCGACAGCCAAAGACATATGCAGCAGCTCATCCGCGTTGTGTGTAAACAATGCACAAACAACGCACGGCAAACAAAAACATACGGATAGTTGTCTTACACACTAAGACTCGGCCTCCGAAACGACGGATGTTCTGTAAGCCACCATCCATACGGTGTTCCAATCGGCCGCCGTGCTCAAAAGCTACATTTATGCAAATATTTAACAGGGCAGGGGTTAGGATACAACCTTGCCTCACACCAAAGACACAAGTAAAGTCATCCGAGTTCTGTCCACTTAGCTGACATGGTCGCCCGCCTACCACTGTGCAGACCTTTAATCAAACTTCCAAACTTAGTTGGACAATCACACTCACTCCACCCGAGACACAATGTCTAGAGATTTGCCTTGTCAAATGCCCTGTCCGCAAACGCGACCAAAAAGTATCTCCTGGAATGAGATTTGGACCTCCCTGAATGACCAATTTTTGTGCCCCTGGCCATCTCAATGGGAGACTTTTCAGACGACTTTTATTCATTCGGAATATTTCTTTAAATACACTCTTACTATATGCCGTAAATGCATTTTTTGAGTGCAAATACCGTCAACATAACGCATGAATCGATTCCCACGTTGTACATCCATATTACAATAGCCGTTAAGCTAAATCGAAAATGTTTTCGAGTGATCACAATTCAACCAAAACGTGTCTAATTTGGACGGCCAGGGGCACAAAATTTGGTCACAGGGAACGCCAGTGGTCCCTCGCGTTCAGTGAAATAACGATTTTTTAAAAATTAACGCGTTTTAGGCTAAGAACGGTGGTAATAAAAATGTACAATCTTATTTAACCGCATATTTGGACAGATCACACCATTTATTTTCATATAACATATTTTTGGCTTTGCGAATGACCAAAAATACGCCCAAATGGGACTGCTGGCCGTCCATCTGGGAAGTCTACAAACAACGAGTACCATGGCTGGTGCCGCTCTCGGCAATTTTTCTGCAACTGGCGACCTGCGAACACCATATCTATGGTGCAACAAGACTGGACCTTAACTCGGTGCGACGGTTTGCCTACCTCTTTGATCCATTGTGCTATGCTGGATGGTGCCTCCGGGTCCCTTGAGAAGTACTCATACTAAGTTGGTCAATGGATAGAAGTCAGACAATCTCAGTATCCTTGTCCTCTAGGCTGGGGGTTTGAAATGGGATGGTATCCATTTCTGTAAAACTAAATTATCGTCACCTCCCCGTCGCCTTGCGGACAGGCTATTAAGCCGAAGGCTTTGGTTGGGGACCCAAATATCCTCCTGTCTAGATCTGAGCGCTCTGGCAGTATCTCAGTCCACATACCACCATGCATATTGCCACAAACGTTAACTACATCGTGCATCGGCCGTCGCACATATTATCAAGGGCCGTCTTATCTGCTGCATACAGCATGGCGGATAAGCAAAAGGATGCTAATGCTGGCAATTCCCTTTTTTTCGTTTTCACCTCTTTCTCTTAGTTCCATCCCGAGCACCATTACTAAACTTTCTACTACAATCCCCAGCTTAATTAACAGCAACCGAGGTGCCACTGGAGTAGAACCATCTGCAGCTGCCTTCTTGTACAATTCACTGGATGGCTATCTGCAACAATGCTTTATAAGGTCAGTCCCTCCCGTTTCCCGGGCGGCGTTCAACGTTCGCACTTTTACAAAATTAAGTCAACAAACTGTATTCTCATGCACGTTAGACAAGCTGGGTATTGACGTGTGTCACGTATCCTAAACTAGGATCAATGACTCTCATGGGGTTGTTGAATTAACTGCACCAGGTTTGTCCACTCGCTTTTGGTTGTACGCCTCGGAAGACACTGATGCGGCAGCCTGTGGTCAAGCTGATGTAAGTACCGTACTCCGCTCCAAGGCTGTGTCATCGTTAGTTGATTGGATTCCGGTGAACAGCCGTTTGTGCACAGTCCATTTGACGATACGGACCAACCTTGTTGCGGGCACGTCAAATATTCCCGCAAAACGCGCCAGAAACCGCAGCAGAATAGCTGTGGAAAGCGAGGGCCAATTCCTCCCCACAACGCAGCAGAGCTCAGCCACTCCGAGACGCGGCCCAAACTGCGCACCTTCTGACAATGGTTATTTACAAACTACCACCTCTTCGTGGTGACAGTTTTCCTTAACTTAATAACCCATAGCACTGTCTGTGATCGCCCTTTGTCGGTCGTAAAAGAGCCTACAGAGGACCACTTGTCTTTTCTTTCTCTTCGCCTCAGTTGGGAGTCGGTCGGGTCGCGTGATTGCGTGTGCATCGTTAGCTGGCCAGCCTTCGCGTCTAAGCCATTAGAGCGCGTCTATCGTAAACCCCCCTCTCGTCTGCGTCCGTCCGAGGCTCGGCGTCTATCCGCACACGTGCGGCTAGGATCGTT